GTGTGAGTGAGGGTATGACTGGTGTAAGTGAGGGTAAGTACTGGTGTCAGTTAGGGTAGCACTAGTGTAAGTGAGTGTAGCATAGCTGTAAGTGAGTGTAGCATAGCTGTGAGTGAGTGTAGCATAGCTGTGACTGAGTGTAGCATAGCTGTGAGTGAGTGTAGCATAGCTGTGAGTGAGTGTAGCATAGCTGTAAGTGAAGGTAGCACTAATGTTAGTGAGTGTAGCATAGCTGTGAGTGAGTGTAGCATAGCTGTAAGTGAAGGTAGCACTAATGTTCGCATCGCAAAACTACCCCCCGCCCCGCCCGCAGGCGTTGCTATTCAACCGAGCCGTCGACGACCTTGACGCGTGGTGCGACGACGTCGAAGGTCACCTCGCGTCCGAGGACCACGGCCGCGACCTGACGAGCGTCAAGAAGCTGCTCAAGAAGCACCAGCGCCTGGAGACGGACATCACGAACCACCTCGGCGCGATCAAGAAGGTCGAGGCGATGGCGCGGGGGTTCGACGCCGCCGGACACTTCATGAACGACGACATACAGGCGCGTGCGAAGACCATCATCGATCGGTGAGCGACGCACGCGGGGGTTGCCGGGGTGACGCACCTAGTAGGATAATTTTGATTATATTACAAAATCCATTCAATCCAGAATAAAACTGTAGGCCCTACAGTCTTATTCTCGATTGAATCGATTTTGTAATATAATCAAAATTTATCCGCCGAGCAGTTGCCTAATGATGTTGCCCACTGTTTGTGGCTGTACCCGTACCCGCAGTCCCTCTGTGCTGGGATGAATCACATTACATGTTTACATTTAATTGAATTGAATTGAATTGAATAGCTGTTTTGAATCGATTTTGTAATTTAATAGAAATACTAAATTAAAATACTAAATAAGTTATAAATAAAAGTTTTTAATATTTTGTACTTTGTAATAAAAAAGAACAATCTGAATTTAATTGTAATGAATTGAACGAAATGAAATTGAATATCTGGATTGAATAGATTTTGGTGGCCCGGGAAAAGCGAAAAATTTCACTTCATTTCAAGAAAAAATCTGCGCCGACGAACCGTCTGCGCCGGTCAACAGCACGCGCTCTGTCTCACGGCTCGGTGCGTGCGGTAAATGAGCGCCCTCTGCCGGCAGGTACTACTCTCTGCGTGAGCCGGCGCAGATCCGTCGCGAAAACCTCGAAGACGCGAAGCTGCTGCAGCAGTTTGCTCGCGACGTCGAGGAGGAGGTGTCGTGGATCGAGGAGAAGCTTCCCCTCGCGCGCAGTCCGCAGACAGCGGCAACAGCCTCACCGCCGTCACCAACCTGCAGAAGAAGCACCAGGTGAGTCTCCCGCGGTCACAGTCTAACCTGTATATAAGGG